AATGAGTCAGTCAGCCCTCCTGAAGTTTTGAGCCCCTGGGAAATTGTGCAGTTAAAATGTTTCTTCTCAAACATCATGGGCTTGTGTTGAAGTGTAGGAAGTAAAATGGACTTCCTCTGAACCAAACCTTAATCATTTGGAAGGAAAAAGAAAAGCAGGTCAGCTGAGAGCTGACTCTGACCCTAAGAACATAGATGCTGTTGCCACCAGCATATAAGGCGTCAAACAAATAAAGTACTTTTGCCTTAAATGCTGGCAGCCTAACACACTGAATCTAGTCTCTACCTAAACACTTGCTGTTATAAAGGTGAAATCATGAGTAAATGGCTCTCTTCAGCCTCTCTGGAGACCTGTCCAAGGACAGGCTTTATCTTGTTAAAGGAGAATTGGTGTGAGCATCTCTTGGCTATAACCTGCCACTAGAAACTATGGTCTGTGTGAGTTTGTACTGGTAGGAGTGAATTGAGCTCTTGGAGCCACTTAGGCACTACCCTGAGCCACAGCTTTGCTTTCCATGCTCTCTATGGGCCTTGCTATTGAAAGAAACTGTCTTGTCCCTGTCAGTGGATCCTGGAGAGCAGTGTAATCCACCAGGTCATCCTGAAGCCTGTAGCTTGGCCTCATATGTTTCTCAGTGCCACTGACTGCAGTGCCTAGATCTCCACTGACCACAGTGTGAGCTTGACGCCCAGCTCACTTATGGATAAGTGTTGAAAAGTCTTAATTTGAAGCTGAATTGTGCATACCTCCAGCTTTTATTCATGGAATATGTGTTTGAGAGGTAAGGTTGCTTATTATTCCCTCTTTTACTGAGGAGTGTGTTAAGTACTGCTTAAGCAGAGTGCATAAGCATGCAGCAATGTTAAATGTGACAGCTCCTGCATTAGCCACAAACAGTGTAGTGTTTACCTGCTGATCTCCAGGAGTTCAAAAGCAGCCCACCACTGTTTCTTTAGTTTTGTTGTCCTGGAGTTTGCTCACCCATACAGTCTTGGGTGAGATAATGTTTGCCCCTCGTGCTGATAGCTCCAGCTAAACACATCCTAAACACAGCTAAACAGATACTGGATGTATCAGTGTCTTAGGGGGGCTCTCTGTATCCGTGGAAAACAAGCATCTGCCTGTTCCTGGGTGAGTCTTCAGTGCTGTATGCAGTTAAGGATACTGCCTCTCACCTCTGCATATCTGTTTCTGTATCTCCTCAGTTGCTAAGAAGGAGTTAGATGACCTGGAGAGGTGGAAGAGAAACCACAGCCCAGGACCAATTAAGTTGACTCCACAGAGACTAGGTAAGAGCTGTAAAAGAGTTGTTATGGATTGCAAAATACTTGTAAATATATTGACCCCTCACTACATGACACTCTTTTCTTTTCATAAGCTTGTTATTTAGAATATTAACTGTCAGTTGTGCTAATAGGAGTCTGCTTTATATGGTTTGTGGATTTTGATGGTCCTGACAATGAAGATATTCATGAAACAAACCGGCATAGATCATCATTCAAGAAATCTTTCAAGATCAGTGTAGAAAATCTGTATTACCATTTAGGAGCGAGAGGTTGACGAGCCCACTTGCTGAGAGGACTTATAACTAAATCGCTCTGGGTAAAGGGCCAGTGTTACACTACTGTGTTAGGAGCCTGGCTGCTGGCTCTTGAAGAGGCAAAAAATGATCCCTACCACCTCAGACTGAATGTGCATGGGGTTCTGTATAACCAATCTTAACAAAAATATCTCTGGAGCTGAGTGGGGGGGGGGAACAGGATAAAAGGCAACAGAGGCTTAAGTCACACTGAGTCGAACTGTGTGATTGAGAGATGTATTTTTTTCTAAACAAAAGAGAGGAAACATAGTATATCTCTTCAGATGGAGCACATAAGGCAATTAATGTGCTACTTGAAATTTAGCTTAAAGGAGGGGCAGGCGGAAGAACTTTAAGGAAAATGGGAAAGCAGGTTGTGCTGCAAAGAAGTATGAAACAAGAGGGAGGTTATTAGAAGTGTTTTCAACTACCAGCCTTCAAACTTATCTTGTTTTAATATCTTTCACTAATATCTTTGGCACAAAAAGTAGGAGTGGGCTGATGAAACTTGCTGGCAAGACAAAACTTGAAAGCATTGTCTGTACAGAATATGATGAGGCTACTGCACAAAAAGAATGGGATGACCTTGAGGGACTGCATTAATAGAAATGGAACAAAACTCATTATGATGAAGTGAAGGATTATAATGGTACCTTTATTAGTTTTGTAAATTTATAACTTCCCTTCCTTCTTTTGCCTGTCACAGGATAATTTGGGGTGTGCTGTGCAGATTATTGTCTATCTTGACCTCTTGAAAATTAAATTCTTTCTTTGCCATGCTACACAAGTTTATTGAGGCAGTATCATGTGCATAAAAAAATGATTTCATGTAGGAGATGGAAGAGAATCAAAATTCTTCCTGATGTGAAGAATTTTGACCTGACTCCAAACCAGATTTGTTTCTGGGGTCAAGGTGGTGCTAGTCCCCCATGCTGTTTTGCCCTTCTGCCCAAGTCCCAGGTGCTTGGAGTGGTCAATCTACTTCTGCAATTTAGTGCAATACCCTGTATTTCCATCCCATTTGCAGTTATGGGGACAGGCATGTTCTTTATCAGTTTGTACATACCAACTGCTTCCTCCCTGTGAATAGCTCCTAGAAAATATGCTTCTATCCTAACAATTAAAAAAACTTATTGCTGAAGAAACTGAAATCTGAAAAGAAAAAATTGTTCTGTTCAGAAAGCAACCAGGCTAACTGCATAACTGGGAATATAGGGAGAAACCTATAATAACTAAGAATGTGGAAGGTCTTATCTTCCTCTGATTCCACGGCACTTAAAGACTTTCTTGAGAAAGGAGCATTAAAAAAAAAATCAAAAAGCTTCTGGAAGAATTTGAGTTATATGAGCTCTTCAGTCACTGCCTAGTTGGTACTTAGATTCCTGGAGACAGAGACACGTGAACTATCTTAAGTGCCTCTGAAAAGAGGTAAAGTGCAAGGATTTTTAGATCTTATCATTCCCACAGGAGTAAATTTGGAGCAGAAAAGGGTTCAAGGAAGGGGTGAAAAAAAAGCATTATCTCTAATTTTACAACCTTAGGTGCAGTGCTCATCAAGGAAAAAGTATCCTATGATATTTTCTCAGGGTGATTTTTTTTTTTTTT